CTTACAGAGAATCCCATTTACAATGGTCAGGCCCATGAATGACTTTACGGAGCCTCTGGTCCTGCCCAATTCAAGATCCCTTCCTCGGCCTCCCTGACCCAAGACCCTCTGGCTATGCTGTTGAGACCTCTCATGACAGGACGTCAATCACACCCTACAGGATGAGCCATGTCAGAGTGGGGCTTCTCTTGCTGCTTACAAGTTTCTCCACTGGAGATTTGTGTACTTCATCCACTCTTGACGAAAAAGCAAAGAAAAAAATTAAGCAAAATTCTGAGCCCAAATCTGCCTCCCTTCTAAGACTCATCTGCTGCTCCAGGGAAAACCAGCCAGAGAAATAGCTTTAATGACTGTTACTAGAGAGACATTTCTTCCTCCTTCCCCTTTTTTTGAGGTACTGGGGATGGAACCCCTAGGTGCTCTACCTCTGAGCTGCATCCCCAGCCCTTTTTATTTTGAGACAGGGCCAGGCTGGCCTTGAACTTGTGATCCTCCTGCCTCAGTCTCCAGAGTCACTGGGATTACAGGCATGCACCAGATGCCATCATAAGAGAAATTTCTATTCGAGAGGAAAATACCTTGATGGTCAGGAAAGAGTAAAGCATCAGAGTCCCCAGAGAGCTGAAATTAAGCCAAGCACCCTGAGTGTCACATCCTCAGATGCCGCTGACCAGCAGGCAGGATCACAGGGTCCCTCTAGCTCCTGAAGCTCCCTAAATCCCCCAACACTGAGCTTCAGGCTAGGCTCCCCAATACCCATTCCCAGGGCTCAAATCCTTCTCCCTCAAGTGGTCTCTTTTAGGGGTGAGCTTTGCAAGTGAGGCTATGTCTCTCCATCTCTGCCACTGCTAAACCTTCCCAGTCGTCTCCACTTACCTCTTAACTTCACTCCTGCCTGCATGATGCATATAACCCAGATCACAGTGCACCTCTCTGCTTAGAACCCTCCAGCAACTCCCTACTGCAAACAGCAAGAAAACCCAACATCCTTACAGGGGCCTATAAAGTCTTAAACACTGATCCCTGCTCCCCCCACTTCTGAGTTCATCTCTCCACATCTGTCTGATGCCAAAGCCTGATCCCACTTCATACTGTTTTAACCTCTGCACATCTCTCTGCTCTTGAAGCCACACGGCTACTGCGATAGGAACTGTCCCTACTGGTGGTCAATAGGAATCTTTGAATA